CTCTGGTGTTACAGGTAAGAAAGGAGCTGTGCTCTGGGCTGCTGTAACAGGATAAACATGGAGGCCCGTCTTAGATGGTCAGCACACACACGTACCTGCCGGCCCACCCACTCCCATCTCTACAAAGCAATCGTCCAAAGGGTGGGTACCTGCCAAGTGTGTCTCAAGAGGCGGTTGGGTAAAGCCAATGCTAATGCAGCAAATACAGAAAGAGGCATTTCACTCTGCCTTGTTAGCATCCACGTGTTGATTTCAATTCCTTCGTCACTTCCCCAGGCTTCCCTAACCGGATCCTGTCCTCGCTCCTCGTTCCAAGGCCTCTCGGCCACCACCGCTCTCCACCACAGCACACCAGTGTCCCCTCCCAGCTGCGCGTGATGCGACTCATGCCCCCTCCCCTGTTGAGACTGTAAGCCTCAGGGAGGACGGGGCCGTGTGGGCTTTTGTTTACCCTTTTACTTTCAGTGCCCAGTGGTACCCGGCACATTTAATACACGTTTCTGAAGGTATGAATGATTTAGCACTGGAAGTAGTCTCCCCGTCCTACTTTTCATACCTGGTCTCTACCCACACTCAGATTAGCTAAGGATTCTGGGTACAAAGGACTCCAGCTTGTAAAGAGGTCATGTGATTGCAGATCTATCTCCCCTGTTTGCTCCCTAGGGGCCAGGCTAGCCCTCATTTCCTTCTCCATCCTGACCTATGGACTCTTGCGGCACTTGGTGCTATCACGGACCCTAGTTTCATTTTTATTTCTGCAAACATTTTCTTCTAGGTTACATGCTTAGGAATTCGAAGTTCCCATTAGAATTCTTTGTGCCTGCAGCTATGCTTTGTACATGCCTCCTGCCTCTTCTTAGCGTTAGATGGTAGGTTGCAAATACAGAGCAACATCCCACTTTGTAAACCCAATTCTCTCGAGGCGTCACAGTCAACATCAAGATTCCAGATGACCACAGAGGTCATACTGAACACTGATGGTTCCGTGAAGATCCTATGAGTAGGGAAGGATCTGGTTTCACCTTTGAGCCCTGGCAAAAGCCACTTCATTGGGCAACAGAGAGAATCAGAGAGTAAACAAGTTCATGTACAGCAATTCTAAGTCACATACACGACTGCTTGGGAAAAGGGTCATACTCCACAAAGACGTCATCCTACCTATTGCTGGTCATAATGACCACATGGCAACAGGGGTTCTCAGTGGGGTGTTTAGACTCCTTTGTGGATTTTTAAAGGGTTCAGGATTGCATCCAGCCATGGCGTATGCAATGCCCCTATTTAACATCAGTGCTGCTGAAGCGAAGTCAAACTATAAGGCTTCCGTGAAGGCAAATCTGTCACGTAATAAATACCTTGCAGGTTGGGTGCTCGGCAGCGTTGCCCTTTTTGTGATGGATACTCGCCATCTGGCTTTCAGCGGCACCCCTGCTCCTGTTATTCTTACCCCCAGTCCTGTTCCCAAGCAGTAACACTAGCACTTGAACAGCGCTTTGTGGTTTACAAGGCATTTATCACATCCTTCTGTCCTTACCCGAGCCTGATAAGGTAGGCAGGCAGCCGTAAGAAAACCCGACAGTAGGGGTGTCTCGTAAGGAGGGCTGGTTGACGCTGGCAGAAACTCAATTAGATCCCGAGTGAGAGATGTGGCCTGTTGCTAGAGGGCATACAGGCCCATCACGTCAGCCCAAGCCTTAGAAATGGACTAAGACACCAGAATGCTACTTATATGAATTCATGAGTCATTTCCACTCCTGGACTAGGACGTAAGAATGCATGGATGCAGGGGTGGAGAAGGGGAGAGATTCCTGGGTGACTCAGTCTGTTAAGCGTCCGACTTTGGCTCAGGTCATGATCTCACGGTTCATGGGTTCGAGCCCCGCATCAGGCCCACTGCTGACAGCTCAGAGCCTGGAGCCTGCTTCGGATTCTGTGTCTGTGTGTCTCTCTCTCTCTGTCCCTCCCCGGCTTGTGCTCTGTCTCTCTCTCTCTCTCAAAAATAAATATTAAAAAAAAAAAAAAAAGAATGTGTCGTTTGGTATATTCCATCCCGTTGAAGCAATGTTCCACTTCACATCAATAGCATCTCAGTGGTACAGAAGCACTTACCCAGGACATAATTACATAGCTTTGCTAGCTTAGAGTCAGAACAACACTAGAGTTTAAACTGGTTAAGGTATCAGACGGGATCTTACAGATTACATGTCAACGGGCCCTGAATACCTGAAGATTATGTTATAATCCCTGCATCCATCTCCAAACTAAAGCAAAAATGCCCGACCCTCTGGACACCTGGGTGGCTCAGTCAGTTAAATGACTGACTTGATTTTGGCTCAAGTCACAATCTCACGGTACGCGAGATGGAGCCCTGTGTCAGGCTCTGCACTGTCAGCCTGCTTGGGATTCTCTCCCCTCCCCACCTCATGCCTGTATAGGTGCTCTCTCAAAAATAAAGTTAAATAAAATGCTTGAACCTCAAAGCTAACAGTGCCTCTCTCCTCAACAGTGCTTGGAATGCACAGTGTTCTTATAACAACCTTCTCACTGATGCGACTGACCTCCATTCAGACGGGTTACAGTATGTATATTAGTTACTAAACTCCCAGAGGCGCATAAAGAGAGATGCTAATCTGTACATCTTACAGCTGACAGAGCCGACGTGCCCAGGGGATCTGAAACTGGCCTGATACCAGCCAATCAGCACAGAGAGGAGCCAGGGTTTACACATTCTCGTTGGCCTGAGATCCACTGCTACTAGGGACTGTGTCTTTGGCCCATGCGTTCATCTTATAACCAAACCTGCAAGAAGGGCAGTCTTACTTCCTTCATGTCCTGAACTTCTCAGGGACCTCGCTTTAGTTGAGTTCTGAAAACGATGCCCACAAGTGTAGCAACCAAAGTGCAGAGAAGTTAATGATCTTTTACAAGGTTATGCCCCCAGCTGGGACAAACCCGGAACTCGACTCAAGACTAAGTTCTACACAAGAACTCTTCCTACCAGGCTGTGCTGGCTTCGCCTTCGTAGGCTTTCCGTCCTCGTCCTCAGCACCACTGCCTACCTAGCCTCCGGTGCTGCGGTCCATACCGTGACTGGGTTAACAAAGGGCCTCATCTTCTAACGCTCATTTAAGCGAGGGCAACAGTTCTATCTAGAACAACCACAATCCTAACAGAAATTACCGGATGTATTTTGGAAATGATTGCTAACGGGACGGAAACATGAACAGGCTCTCCAAGTATAAAAGTATCGAGTTTGTACTAGACTATTCAATACCGTATGAACACCCCCAATCTCAGTGGCTTAAAAAAATATTATTTTGGGGGGCCCCTGGGTGGCTCAGTTGGTTGAGCGTCCGACTTCGGCTCAGGTCATGATCTACCGATTTGTGAGTTTGAGCCCCATATCAGGCTCTGGGCTGACAGGTCAGAGCCTGGAGCCTGCTTCAGATTCTGTGTCTCCTTCTCCCTCTGCCCCTCCCCCACTTGTGCTCTGTCTCTCTCAAAAATAAATGTAAAGAAATTTTTTAAAATATTATTTTCTTTATCACGTGACAATCCAGTGTGGGTGAGCAGGGGTGAAGGGGCGGGCACAAACGAGGAAGGCTTTGTTCCAGTCATTGAGGAAGTGAGGCTTGCTAGTCTGCCAAAAAGGCCCACGGCCCAGAAGTAGGTTGGGAATTCTTGACCTAGTGACTTCTCTGGGAGTCCACAGGTGTCCATCAGTTCCTTGCATCTGGTGGGCCGATGAGGGAAGCCACGGCTTGAATCATTGCAACGATTTAATAAGAGGGCAGGTAAGAAATGACTCACATCCCTCCTCTCCTCGTTCCGTTGGCTAGAGCTCAGTAATACGGACCGTGTGTGGTCTGTCCAGGTGCTCGGGAAGAGGGGGTCAGTGAGCACACATCTTTGCCACAGTGCCAGGCACACATTTCCTGGGTTAAACCATCATACGAATACTAAAGGATCCGACGGCAGAAACACTAAAATAAAATGATGCTAAATGGGACCATGATACCAAATGCCCCAGATACTGCAAATCTGGAAAACTTCAAACACAGGCGTACATCGGATATTGCTGATTCCGTTCCAGACCGCCAAGGCGCAGCAAGTATCACAGTCAAGTGAGTCAGGCCACTTTCCTGGTTTCCTGGTGCGTATAAAAATTATATTTGCGCTACACTGTTTGGTATGCAATAGTAGTATATCTAAAACACAAATACATATATATATATATATAATTATAAATTATTAAAAAATCTTTCATGCTAAAAAAGCTAAGTATCATCTGAATGTTGGGTGTGTTGGTGGAGGGTCCTGTCTTCACGTGGATCAGGGAGGTGGCTGCGGCCATTTCTTACCACAGCACTGAAGTCTGCCACATTGGTTGACTCTTTCACAAACGCTATCTCTGTACCATGCGATGCAGTTTGACCACATTTTACCCACAGTAGGACGTCCTTCAGACTTGGGAGTCAATCCTCTCAAATTCTGCCGCTGATTCATCGAGGAAGTTTCTGGAATGTTCTAAGCCCTGTGTTGTCATTTCGATGGTCTGCACAGCATCTTCACCAGGAGCTGCAGGTCAAGGGGCCACGGTCTTTGCTCATCCGTCACAAGCAGCTCCTCACCTGTTCAGGTTTGATCACGAGATGGCAGCCATTCAAATATAACTAAAAAGCTTGAAACATTGTTGAAAATTATTAAACTGGGACACGGACAGGAAATGAGCAAATGCTGTTGCAAGGAATGCAGTATCTGCAAGGCGCCACGAAGGGAGGTCCGCCTGTACTATAAAGAGGACACAGCATGTAGCGGGGGTGCCTGGGCAGCTCCGTCGCTTAAGCGTCAGACTCTGGCTCAGGTCTTGATCTCATGGTTTGAGAGTTTGAGCTCTGCATCGGGCTCTGTGCTGACAGTGTAGAGCCACTTCAGATCCTCTGCCTCTCTCTCTCTGCCCCTCCCCTGCTCACGCTCGCTGTCTCAAAAATACACAAACATTAAAAAAAAAAAGACATAGTCCATTTTATTTCACAAGTAGCACATATTATAGTGACAGAAAATAATGGAACACTGGAAACGACACTAAATACTGGATGGTGTGATGATACCAGACACCTGCTCACGTATGAGGCGGCTCCTTGGGCTCAGGCCTGGGAGGGAGAACTGGTTGGTGGGAGATGGCTGCAGGGGCGTGGCCGCAGGGTCCACTCTCTGCTCCACATGGAGACATGATAAAAGGAGAAGCCTCGCTGGCAGGAGGGAGGGGCAGATGGCGTGGAGCCGGCGTAGGAAAGCGCAGTGACACTGGTCCCCCGTGAGCGGACAGGAGAAAGGCAACAGATGGCTTTTTGGGCTTTTACTGAAGCTTTCGTACAACTCCCCTGGCGTCGTTTTCCAGAATTGTCGAACTCTAAGGCACTTTCTTTTTTCTGAAGTAGTTCATTGGTTTCTGTCACTCTTAAATAAGTCGATTGATTAACTTGACTGATTCACCAATTAGTTAACATAAAAAATTGAGGCTCCATTACACCTCCTTCCAGGAAGGGCCTCGGGCTAAGGGGGGGCTCAGAGGGTCACATGTAGGTCGCTCTCCCAGATCCTGACACAAACCAACAGCGGCACTACCCTAAGCCCTGTAAACAGGAAGTTAGATGCCAAAAAGGACTTTGAGGTCAGCCAAAGTGAGCTTCTTGACGGATTTTCCAGATCCTGTGAGAACCTGTTTGGCCAAAGTTTTCTTTTTTTCTTGAAGCTGTAAGATCTTCTCTTCCACTGTTCCCTCACAAATAAACCTAAAAACACAGATAAGCAAATAATCAAACACCCAAAACTGTATATTTCACAACATATTCAAACTTCGACTTACGCTTTTGTTTTTAAGATTTCTTCCTTTAAGCTTTCTTAGGTTTAGTTAAAAACTCCATGTTTAGAAGATTCACACAACCTGGACTAAATATATGCCCATGTAAAATGATGCAGCTTAAATTATTTTTCGTTTCTTTCTGAAGCTAACTCAGGTGGCTGGAAAATCTCCGAATAAGACAAAGGTATCCTCATGCAAAAACGTGTAGCGACCTAACTTTCACTGAAAAAGCTCAATCTTGATCAAGTCGGAAGGCCTTAAAGCTTATCAAATGTCTGCTAGGGGTACATGTGCCGGTGTAAGTGCAGTGTCTTATTTCGTGGCTAATTCACACTGAACACGGGTTTTTACACCCTGAAGAAATGCCACTGTTGTCACACACTCATTCGACACGCACTGATTAAGCATTTACAGTAGGCCATATGCTGTGCTAAGCGTAGGAATGGAGGGGTATCTTGAGCTGTCAAAGAGTACACAACAGACCGAAAATCAACACAAGGCGTCCAGAAAGTGCTAACAGAAGGATGCCCAGCGTGCGCCAAGAGTACAAGGAAGCATCTGCGGTGTTCAGGGAAGGCACCATTGAGGACTGAACTCGTGACGTGTGACCTGAGGCATGAGCAGGGGTTTGTGGAACGGAACGGGTGAGCCCGTCCTAGGGAACGGGAACGTGGTAAAATCATGGCTGAGTTTCAGAACACGGCTGTGCCACAGGAAGAGCAGGCTGTCCAGTCTGGCCAGGGTGAAAGTCGAGAGGACTCCACCATGCTGGAGCACCATGGGACGGTGGGGACCACCTTGTGCGTGGCTTCGTGGGTCATACTAGGAAATTTAGATTTGCCAGAGGGAAGTGGCGGTGTGGAGGGAAAGGAAGGGGTGGCTATCGCAGACCTTTAGGAAATGAAATTAATGGACACGGTATGTGAAGAGTGCAGATAAAGGGAGGAACAGTCTGCGGCCCCAGGACTGGATATGGAGACACTATTCACGAAGACAAGGAACTAGGAAGCATCAGGAGACCCGAGGTGGCGTCCCATCAGTCTGCAGCCTCCCGAGTGCCAGAACAGGTCAGAGTGCTCGCTACATAGAGCGCTCGGTGGGTGTAAGTTTTAGGAGCTGAATGAGCCAAACGCACGGGTGAGCAAGGAGGTGCACACTCAGATTCAGGTAGTTAGCATGGATCTGGGTCGCTAGGTCTGATGTGTCAGAGAGCCTGGGGACGACGACACAGACTGTGGACTCCGCGCAGTGGACGGCAGGATTAGTGGAGGGGCCTCCAGGGTGAGGAGAGAGCGAGCGGCATGGGGAATCCACTGACGGCCCGGACACGCCCACATACACCCGCATGTGAGAATTCTTTGGCATTACTTTTGCAAACAAGAATTTCGGGGATATTATTCTCAAGAACTCTTCCATTCTTCTCCACATGTCTGAAAGCATGTCAACAGAGAAGTTAAAGGCAAAACCTCAATAAACAAAGGGTGGGGATGCGGCTGCCCTTCCTGGCTCTGATATGCAAGGACGTTCTTCTCTTGCAGGGACCACCCCCCAGGGAGCCCCATGTTGCTCGTGCTCTCCCCCAGGCAGGGAGTCCCAGGGAGGCCATGCCTCAAGGTCGTCATGAGTCAAGGGATCACCAAACACCTTATGTTCTATGAAAGCACCACCCAAGAAAGACTTTCACAGAAGTAAAGCTTGCAAGGGGGTCTAGGTCCCGGGAGGCCTCGACTTACTTGTGCACAACAACGTCTCTCTGCTGCCCCACTCGGTAAATTCGGTCACAAGCCTGGTCTTCGAGTGACGGATTCCTGTTGGAAGAGAGGCAAAGCTCAAAGGTGCTGACGCCGTGGGCTGGATGGGCCAGGGCCCTGGTCCGAGCCAGCCACGGCTGCTTCTGGATGGTTCTGGAGCTAAGATGGTGATCGTGGTTCCAAAGGGTTGAAAAAAGCCCACAGTACAGAACAAGGGACGGAGACCGGTGTAGCTTGCAGAGCCTAACACAGTTTCCATCGAGCCTAAAACGTTTACAGACAAAGTTTGCAAATCCTGTCCGAGGCTACGCGGGCCTCAGGAAGGTTAGTGTCGGGTCTCTTCTCACCCGCGAACAAGCAGCTGGGGTCAGTTTGCTGACAGAAACCCCACAGCACCATCAGCTGACACCTGTACGCAACAGAGGGGACACCAGCGCTCAAGTTAGGTCACTAACTAGCTGGAGGGCCTCGCGAGCCACCTACCCTCAGCGTCAGATCACTACCTGGAAGCATGCGGGCGGCCTAATGATCTTGAACACCTTTTTCAACTTTCATATTCTGAGATTCAATGTTTGTTTATTTTTGAGAAAGAGAGAGAGCGAGCAAGCAAGCATGAGTGGGGTGGGAGGTGGGGCAGAGAGAAAGAGAGACACAGAATCAGAAGCAGCTCCAGGCTCTGAGCTGTCAGCACAGAGCCCGATGCAGGGGTTGAACTCACAGACCGTGAGATCATGACCTGAGCTGAAGTCAGATGCTTAACTGAGTGAGCCTCCCAGGCGCCCCTCATACAATGAGATTCAACTAAGGGAACTTAATTTCTTGTCTTCTTTATAGATTCTTACTATCAACTCCAAGCTAGTTTCTCATCGTACTTCTTTGAAATCTTGGACAAGATTCCTCCATTTCAGAACACAGCATGTATGTATGCATGTATGTACTCAAGATTTTATTCTTAGGGGCACTTGGGTGGTTAGGTCGGTTGGGGGTCTGACTCTTGATTTCGGCTCCGGTCACGATCTCAGAGTCAGGAGGGCAAGCCCTACATGGGGTTATGTGCAAAGCATGAAGTCTGCTTAGGATTCTCTCTCTCTTTTCCTCAGCCCTTCTCCCTCACTTAATCTTGCTCTTTCTCTCTAAAATTAAAAAAAAAATTTTTTTAATAAATTTTATTTTTAGGTACTCTCCAACCCAATGCAGGGCTCAAACTCACAACTCTGAGATCAAGAGTCGCACACCCTACCGACTGGGCCAGGCGGGCACCCATTCCTCCCTCAAATGTACCAGGGAGCCCCAGATAAGACCAAAACACTCTCTCCCAGGAAATGATAACAGGTTGGACTGTGTGCACCAACCCGGGCCACCTGGAGAATCAGACAAAGGCACAGCAATCCCTACTCGGCACAACTGGAAAACCCTAAACTGGGACTAATTATGACATTTTCCTCCTACCAACACACACACACTCGCCTCTCTCACATCTAGGAAATTTGCTGTACGCTCCCCATGTTGACGCTCCATGTGAGTCTAAATGGCCTTGTGCTAAGTGTACTCCTAACAGCGTTAGAAAATCCCTTATCCTTTCGGAGTAAAGCTTCTGCTCCTTTTCCAGGGTTGAAACTTCCTTGGACGTCAACAAGCGTGCATGAAGTACGGTATTCGGAGGAGGTGAGACTGAGTGAGATAGCTCTTAGCCCTGAGAAAAAGCCCTCTTCCCTGTTTCCATGGAAACAGATGTCAGATTAACAATAAAGCAACTGCTATCTGAAGGAGGCATTTGAAGGCTTGCCTGCTGGGGAATTCAGGGCCAGCAGCAGTCCCACGCCCTGTTCGGACCTGTACCTGTGCACACCCATGCAGCCACGGCATCCCCAGAATGCAGAAAAGAGCATCCTCAACACCGGGAGTCAGGCCCCGATGCCCCTCCGGCCCCCAGATCCCCATGCTGTGCTGCTGACCATGCAACAGAAGCCCAGAGTCATTACCAGTGCATATCCAGGAGGAAGAGGTGGTTTCCTCCAGTCAGGTTCAGGCCAACACCTCCAGCCGAGAGGGAGATCAGCAAAACCTTCAAAAGAAAGCACAGTATTCACTTTACGCGGATTTGGTCTCCTACTACAGCTCTCCCTCCGTCTCAGGTTCAAGCCTAAGATCCCTTCCTATCAGATTTCTGTCTGCTGGCAAAAAAAGCCATGCCTCACCTTTAAGAAAACTCACTTCATTTTTTTTTTTGCGAGTCAACCTCACAACACGAGGCACACACGTAACACGAGGCACACACACCTGCCCAAATACACAAATTCTACAGTGGGAGCACTGGGGCGGCTGGCTCCACGGGCTTCCCATTAAGCAGGTTCTGTCCCTTCCCTGGGCTCCTCCTGCCCACCGGCCGGTGGACGTTCTCCACGTTCTTGCTGTCATTTCGCTTCTCCCCACGCTCCCTCTCACCGAACCCCCGCCTCCCCTTCAAGGCCTGCCTCGTCCACAGAGACTCGCTTGGTCCAACCTGCTCTGCTCTTCCTCTTTTATGGCCCTCAAGTTTTTACTCCCTTTAAAGGATTTGCACACTTTGATACATGCCCCCGTAAATGACTCATAAATTAAAAGCATGTGGAGGGAGCAAGGCGGTGAATGTTTTTATAACCAAGCTGCTATGCTGGAATTCTCTCTGTGTAACTGGGATCAATCTGTTCTCGGCCACAGAGCTCTGATGGGCCAGCTCGTACCTGAGGGCCCTGGGAGCTGTTAAACGCCTCCACCAAGTCCATCCTCTGTTTGGGGCCAACGGAGCCGTCGATGGTGGCGTAGGTCAGGCCGCGCCTCCTCAGGTGCAAGGCGACCACGTGCAGCATGCCGGTCCACTGGGAGACAATGACGCTGGAAGAAAGCACACGACGGAACATCAGGCCCTGAGGAGGTGAGACGAAGTCATCTGCAGGTCCTTCCCGCCCGTTACGCCTAAGTCATCAAATGTGGACGAGAAAAGGCCTTCTGTTCTCTGTGGGGCAAGTCTACACTTATACCCATCTGTATCTATCTCTGTATCCATCTATCTCTACCTCTCTATGTCTCTATCTCTATATCTATAAACATCTCTTTATCTATACCTATCTCTCTGTATCTATCTATATCTAGCTCTACCTATCTGTATTTATCTCCATCTATTTCTATCTCTATCTCTATCTAGTTGTATCTATATCTATCTTTTTTAGAGAAAGAGAATTGTAAGCAGGTTCCACACATGGGGAGTGCCCAACATGGGGCTCAAACTCACGAACGGCAAAATCATGACCTGAGCGACCTGAAGTCGGCCGCTTAATCAACTGAGCCACCCAGGCACCCAAATTTGAAGTTTTTAAATCAAAATAGTCCATACATACAAATGCAGATCCGTAACATACACATAAGGATAACAAATAACAAACGGATCTATGCACCAAACTCAAGAACATCCCCAGAGCTCTGGGGCTCCCTGTGTGACCCACAATTCATCCCTGCCTTTTGCATCTGTTCCTCCCTTATTTTTCTAGAGATGCTTTTCTACCTTAAAAAAAAATTTTTTTTTAATATTTGTTTTTGAGAGAGAGCCCATGTGAGCGAGCGAGCACAAGTTGTGGACAGGCAGAGAGAGAGAGATGCAGAATCTGAAGCAGACTCCAGGCTGACCGCACAAAGCCTGACACGGGGCTCAAACCCATGAACTGTGAGATCATGACCTGAGCCGAAGTCGGACACTTAACTGACTTGGCCGCCCAGGGCCCCAGCTTTTCTACCTTAAAAAAAAAAAGTTTTATTTATGTATTTCGAGAGAGAGTGAGAATGTGCACCCATATGTGTGAGCAGGGAAAAGGCAGAAAGAGAAAGAGAGGAGGGAGGGGGGGATCCCAAGCAGGCTCTGCACTGTCAGTGCAGAGCCCAGTGTGAGGCTTGAGCCCACGAACCGTAAGATCATGACCTGAGTCAAAATCCAGAGTCAGATGCTTAATCGCCTGAGCTCCCAGACGCCCCTGGGCTTTTCTACTTTCAAACACTTTCCCAGATGCTTAGCTTGCTCTGATCCTCTAGGGATTTCCTTCTCAATCAATGCCACAAATATGTAAACTAGAAATTGTAGAAGAAATCCTGCTATACCTTTGGTGCTTTCTTCTGAGGAGGATTTAAGGTCCCGGATTTGTAAAAAGCTAAGAGTTAGAACTAGCAGCAATATCAAGGTTTCCTGGGTAATTACAAACACTATTTGGACAACAAAGGAACACATTTACCTCTTTTGGGACCCCGCGTTCCCTCGGATTGCCTCCAATTCCACCAACAAAGATGAAATCTGGGAAAGGTTATTTAACATCCATCAGTTGCAGCAAATTTGCTATTTTGCATCACCCCTCACCTGAACAACTGAACTGATCTCTCCTCCTCTGGCCTCACCCCACTCTGGGCCACTGTCCTCTCTGCAGCCAGAGGGTTATTTCTAAGATGCCAGTGTGTCACCTTCCGCCTGTGGCTGAGGCTCGAGTCCAAGCCCTACCAGACCCTTGCTGCGCTGGCCTCAGCTTACGTCTCGAGCCTCATTGCTCAGGATGCCCTCCCCACACCGAAGCTCCTCCTCTGCTAAGCCAAGCTCTGTCTCATCTTTGCCCGCCCCGTCCCCTCTGCCTGGGGCTCCCAACTAGGGATCGAGGTCCAGTAACATTCCGCAGGAGTTCAGGCGTGTGCTGTCCAAGCCCCCTGCTCTGCGTGAGACCTGGAGTGGCCTGGAGCACTGTCAGCGGGCTCCCACGAAGCTGCTTGGTGAGTAAGTACCACCCGAGTAGGAGACACGGTGTGCGGATTATGAGGACCCTGGGTTTTAACCCGAGAGTGAACCCTGAAGGTGCAAGGACATCAAGTCTGTCCATGTACGGAGTTCTTTTCTGTTTCCTCTCACTTCCTAGTGGTCAAGACCTCAGTAGATCCTTTCAAGATTTAATTAGAAGTAGTTCTTAAGTAACACCATTCCCTTGGCAATGACCTCAGTTCTAATTATATATATATTATTATTATTTTGAAGCCTTTGAAGAGAGGCCAAGTCTGGGCAAGGCAGCCTCAGGCAGCAGCGAGAGGGAGACACTCTGCTCTTGGGAGTGCGGACACTGCACCAGCCAACAGAGTGGCAGGACCTGGGTCAAAGCACCTGTCACCCCCCTCCGCTGGAACACTTCTGCCTTAGAGGGCTTTCATGAGAACAGGACAAAAACGACTAACAGAGATAGAAGGCTATTTGGGAAATAACACTTGCGAGATGGATGCCTTTTCAGCGAGCCCAAGCAACTGGCGCTCAGGTTTACAGCTGTCCTAGGGTCAGCCTTTGTTGTTGTCCCTGAAAGCTTCCCGGAAACCAGCTGCTCGCTCGCATAGGCCCCGGCCCTGGCGGAGCCCGGAGAGGCAGCGGTCCCAGGCCAGGGACTGAAAACCTGCCTGGCTGGCCCAAGCCCCTCTCTGAAAGCCCCTCTATGTGATTGGTCTGGTTTTACTCATGAAATAGAGTCAGAATTTAAGACCGGAGGGGGAGCTCACCAGCTAAGACCCGACAGTCCAGCCCTGACATGCAAGACGTGTACGTGTGTGGACGGAACGTGCCGCTCTCACACATGGACCTGTGCAAGGCCCCCCTAGCTTTTTCTACCAGAGCGGTGGTACCTTGCTGCTTGCCCTTGTGTCCTCGAAGAGCTCCGCCTTGAAACATTCACCATTCAGGGAGATGACGGGAGAGGGCTCCGTGTCGCAGAGCTCAGACAGCGTCAGGGCACTGAGCTGCTCTTCCAGAGAGAGGACCAGGCCCTCGCTTTTCAGCTCTGCTGGGTCCAGGGCCTGAGAAGAACACAGGGGACAGGAAGCGGTGGAAGGGCGAGGCAGCAGGCCGTGTTACCCGCCAACGGAGTGCTGACCGTCTAACACTTCACACAGCAAACCGTCTTCTACCTCATCATCAGTAGCTCCTCAGAGAAACCCCATTTAGAACACCATCTCAAGAGCGAGTTCACCAGATTAAAGATAAGTCAAGTGATGGCACTTCTCAGAGCTATGCCAGACCCATTCCACCGCCATTCTGCACTCCCAGCTGGCGCAGTAGTTAATTAAGCTGCTGTCATCCAAACACATCAGCACAGCTCCTCCGAAAGAATAACAGACTCATCCTAATTATGGCTGTGCCTCGATCAAATGTGAGGGCAACTTTCCCAGTCGTGTAAACATTCAAGTTTTCACAACTAGCCTTGAAAGCCCCAATACCGCCAGAAGGCAGAAAAGCCTAGCAGCGAAACAGGCTTTAAGACATCCGAAAATATCCAAGTGTTCATGAACGGTATTCACCAAATGACATTTCCCATTCTAAAATAAAGTCTGTTTACAAAAAGAAAACAATAAAAGCCGTTCTCCCGGGGCGCCTGGGCAGCTTGGTCGGTGAAGCGCCTGACTCTCAACTTTGGTCCAGGTCGTGATCTCACGCACGGTTTGGGAGTTCGAGCCCAGCGCCAGGCTCGGCGCGGATGGTGCGGAGCCTGCTCGGGCTGCTCTCTCCACCCCTCCAGTCTGTGTTGTCAAAATAAGTCAACTTAAAAAAACATTCTGTTCTCAATACTATGGGAATTCTCTCAAAACCAATAAAAACAAATAGGAAATGAAACAAACAAGACTTCTCCTTTCTGCCCCAAGAGACAGACGCGCCCCCGAAACGCCATCTGCCCTGGCCCTGCAGGGGGACCCCTGCAGGAAGGGCTCTCTTACCGACTTCAGCAGGGCGAGGTGACAGCAGCACTGGCGGAGCCGCAGCAGCTGGGTCAACAGCACGTGGGGGGTGCCAGGTCGTGCCACTGAAGACGCTCCGGGCCCACTGCACCCAAACTCCTGGGCCACTTCCCCCGAGCAAATCGAACCACAGGAAACAGGGTGGGATTTAAAAGAGAGACATGAGGAGGAACCGCCGACCCATGGAGGCCGTTGTGAACTTCCCTGAGCTGAGATTCAAGAGCGTGGCTGTAACGGACTTCTCTACCGATGAAGCCGAATGAGACGCTGCTTTTCTTTGCAGACCAGACCTACTTGCATTTGAATAAAGCAGATTGCAAAAATGACTGAAAAGAAGTTCACATAAGCAGGTCTGGTGCATGCAGACCGCCTTATGTGACTTTGGTTTGAGGCTCCTGTCTAAGGTCGAGTCTCTCAGATCAGGAACTCAGTGGGGCGCCAGGGCGGCTCAGTAGGTTAAGGGTCTGACTTCAGCTCAGGTCATGGCCTGGTGGTCCGTGGGTTCGAGCCCTGTAAAGGGCTCTGTGCTGACAGCTCAGAGCCAGGAGCCTATTTCGGATTCTGTGTCTCCCTCTTTCTCTATCCCTCCCCTGCTCACACATACTCTCTCTCTCAAAAATAAAGAAACATTAAAAAAAGTTTTTTTTAAATGCATAACATCCCATGAGGCACCTGGGTGGCTCAGTCAGTTAAGCGTGCAACTTCGGCTCAAGTCATGAACTCAGGGTTCGTGGGTTCAAGCCCCACGTCAGGCTCTGTGCTGACAGCTCAGAGCCTGGAGCCTGTTTCAGATTCTCTGTCTCCCTCTCTGACTCTCCCTTGCTCATGCTGTCTCTCTCAGAAATAAATAAAACATTAAAAAAAACTCATAACATCACATATCTGTAATTTTACCAGCTCTAAATACACATGTTCATTTCCTGAGTGTGTTTCTGGGGGTCCCACTGCTTACCTTTACTGAATGGATTATCAGGGATTCTCCCGGCCTGGCTGCCTCCGCCTTCCTGCCCCGCTCTGAGGTAGGACTGCAGAGCTGACCTGCCTCAGATGGAAAGAGAAAATGTACACATAATGTTTCTAAGACCAAAGAGGTTTAGGATGGTCACCGCTTAACTGTTTGCAGTAGGGCCCGGAAAACTATACGGGGAGACTTGTTAAATGAGGCCGGGCTCATGGCAACCACTGGCCAACGGTAATAAAAATTCATGATTTTAAAAGCCAAATCATTTCTTAAATGATCGACCAAGGTTAATAAACGTATTAATATTACAGAATGTTCTGTTTAGTGATAACTTACTAACTTACAACACATACATGTGAATAGTAATGTTAATTAGTATTAGTTCATGTTTCTTCATAAATACGATTATATTACATGAGGTTTACAAAGAGAAAAAACCATATTCACGCTGGAAGCGAGAGGTGCCAAGAGGCAGGGAGTGAATGTGGAATTTAGGGAAGGACAAATGCTGTAGAGGAAGTATAAATAGAGGACAAGAAGGATTACAGAGCAGACTGTTTGGTGAGTCACAGGTCAAAGGTCAAAGAGATGATCTTTCCCAGCCTGACCCGGACAGAGGCCCACCCGGCCCGGGGGGACAGTGGCCATGCTGCAGGGCTTCCACGCAAGGAAGCCAACGAACAACACCTTCAGCGCGTGTGCGAGACCACGGGGAACCGGGGAGCCAGTGATGAGAGAAACAGGGAGATTTAAAAATGAAAAAGAAGGAACATAGATGTAGCGACAGTCGCCGATAACAGCATAAACGCAGTCTGAGGAAACCTGAGCCCTGCCGCGGTCCCCCACAAGGACAGGAACGACACAACCGCCAGCGGAGGTGCCTCCTCACTGCACACACCTGGATCTGGCCAGAAGGACACTGTAAACCTTCTCCTCCTCCTCAGAGAGCTTTAAACGGTGCACCTGAAATTCCCGCTGGGGCAGCACCACCTGGAGGAGGAAAACGCAGCCGGTGACGTCAGACAAGTGACCCAAGCGCTAGACAGGAAGTCCCCACAGTGGACACTGGAAACCGAGTCAAGGCCTGGCCAGCACTTCCCTCCGTCCCACAAACAGGACTGCTGGGGGGGCCCTCACGGGAAGAGGGGACACTCGGAGGACCCCCGAGCAGAGAAGATGGCTGTTCAAGCCACGGCAGGGACGCAGTCACCCCCCTGCCCCGGCCTTGCCCAGGGACACGTGAAAAGATTACCAAGGGCTTGCCGGTGGGGTCCAGCTGGTCTTTTGTTCTCCTGAGCAAAAGGCTCTTGGTTAAAATACTCAACCGTTCTCCTCCTTTCTTTGAACCGTTATCGACCTGGCTCTTCCACACTCGGAAATCATCAAATGGTGAGCAACGGAGAAATCTGTTGTGGGGGAAGAAGAGAGTAGGCAAGAAGTACTGGAGGACAGTTCAAGGAGCAGATAAGGGCCCAAGGAAACACGGAAGATGAGAAACAAATCAGATTTTCTGTGACGTCTGTCATTCAATCATTTTTAACTGTGAATTTCAGAGCAAAGCTCTGCCAGACATATCCAAAGCATCCACGTCAGTAATAAAACCACACTGTAACATGCGAATTTTCCCGTTAGCACTGTCTGGCTCGCTACAAAACTTACAACCAACGGCTAGAACGGACTCTTAAAGCCTCAAAGGTCGACAAAGAAATTCCATATCCACTTGCAGGTGGACCTGAATAAAAGCAAGTACTTTAAAATCAGCATTCTTTTCTGCTTCGAATAAAAGAGCAGGCCCGACCCTAAGACATAGGCTTTAAAGCTGAAAAGGCCCAGAACATTCATTGGACTGAAGAAAGAAGGTTTTGTTTCCTCTCCTTTGAATCTGTTCTCTATTTTTCCATATAGAGGGCTGGAGGTCATCAACCTCCTGTACCTTCCAGTCCATCAACCGGTTGTTTTCGCATGGATATTAATTCTTTTGCCTTTTAAAGGTTGGCAGGCTTGCCATCCGCTATCTGAGACCATGTGACACACCTGGGAGAGCTTTACTCACTTCAGCAGTGAATACATGTCCAACAAGGTGTTCTGAATGGGGGTTCCGGTGACGGCCCAACGTGCGTGGGCCCGTAGCCTGCACACGGCCGTGGAGGTCTGTACCCGAGGGTTCCTAACACAGTGAGCTTCATCCAATATGATTCGAGCCCAGACTATTCGAAGCAAAGGTGTTTTTGCCAAATCCTGGAAGACACCCAAGCGACATCCATTAACTGTATGGGAGGGAGAATGTACATGTCTTCAGGAAGGTAGGGGGAAAAACAGACTTGTACCGGAGGTCCACTCCTACCTTCAAGTTTGAGGGCTCAGATCAGGTATACTCAAATAAGAATTAAGCTGAAGACACCAAAAGCGGAAACTCTCAATGGGTAGGAATAAACAAGTCAACTTGAGAATCCCCAACCTGCGGTTTAAGATGCTTAGGAGTGAAATGTTTCAAACTTGCATTCATTTATCCTTTCTGACCACTTTTGAACAATGGCCATGAGTCAAGACTACACTAGGTGTCGAGCCTGGAAATTCACTTGACCAGATTTACAGAAAAAAATTTTTTTAACGTTTTATTTTTATTTTTGAGAGACAGAGACCCAGAGCATGAGTAGGGGAGGGGCAGAGAGAGAGGGAGACACAGAATCCGAAGTAGGCTCCAGGCTCTGCGCTGTCAGAACAGAGACCATTGCGGGGCTCGAACTCACGAACCTTGAGATCCTGACCTGAGCCAAAATCAGACGCTTAACTAACTGAGCCACCCCGGCGCCCCTGACCAGATTTATAAAAATTCACTAGAACTGTACTGAAAGTCTACTTTTATGCATGAGATATGAAATCAGACTTAAAGGGCAGTTCCTAGCCTCAAGGAGCTCACGATCTAGCAGAATCAAGCATAAAGATTAATTATGGCATGATGTTTCTATATTAAGTCCTGCTGGGTAACTCAACACATGCTGGAGGAAATCGACTCAGTCCAGCTCACTGCTACATCCCTAATACCAGCATTGGGCACAGAGTAGATACTCAATGTTCGCTGAATACGCGGAGTGCTATGATGTGAGTAAGCACAAGGTGCCAGGACAGGCATTTACCCGGAGGGTAAAGAATTCTCAAAGCAGGTTAAAAAAAAAAAATTAACCGAGAAAAGGAACAGAGGCAAAGCATTCCACGCAGAGGGAGAGCGGCATGACGGGGCAGGGCAGGTATCCGCCCCTTGGTACAGTGAGCATGAGGCGCTGGCGGCTGGGAGATGAGGGATGAGGGACTTGCAAGTACAAGTTCATACAAGGTCTAATGTGTCACATCTTTAAAGGGTCTACGGTTCTGTCCTGAAAGCAATGAGGAGCCACTGGCGAACCTCAAGCGTTAATTAGCAGCAAGAAGTCAGAGCAGGTCTAACTAGAGAAGCATTCCAGAGATTACCCCAAATATGGATAGGTCACCTCTTGGAACAGCTCTGTATTTTCAGGGGAAAAAAGCCCCACGGCAACTAGGCAATAAAGCCTCTGGGCTGTGTGACTGGGACTACCTAGACGTCCTAGCAAACATTCAGGGCTTTTCACCTGGTTATCATTTAGCATCTGGCCCCTCTGTAGCCTTATTTATTTGCGACCTCTCTCTCTTCCTGGGAGGCGGAAGAGAGGCAGACGTTAATGGCTTCATACAAAAATACTAGTACTAAAATATGGGTCTTCACACTGAATATAAAAAATACCCCAGGGTGCCTGGGTGGCTGTTGGTTAAGTGCCTGACTCTAAAAAAAATTTTTTTAATGTTTATTTTTGAGACAGAGAGAGACAGACTGTGAGGGAGGGAGGGGCAGAGAGAGAGGGAGACACAGAATCCAAAGCAGCTCCAGGCTCTAAGCTAGCTGTCAGCACAGAACCCGACGTGGGGCTTGAACCCGAAACCACAAGATCATGACCTGAGCCGAAGTCGGACGCTTAACTGAGCCACCCAGGCGCCCCAAGTGTCCGACTCTTGAACTCAGCTCGGGTCTTTGTCTCAGGGTCATGAGTTCATGCCCCGTGTCTGGCTCCGCACTGGATGTGAAGCCTACTTACACACACACACACACACACACACACACACACACACACACACACAGAGCATGCCCAAAGACTCTAAAATAAAAAGTGCAGCAAGTGGGGCTCCCCATACTCAGGTGACGGGTCCCACCACAATTATAACGCAGTTACCATTAGTTCGAGAAAGCAACTAAATACTGTGCCAAACCTCAACCTGTATTACTGATGAGTCCACCTACAATAAAAGAGAAGGAAGAGGGAAGAATGCTTTGCTTCCGCAGGTGGAATGCCTGGGCCATTCCTCCCCGCGCAGGAAGGCACCCTTGCGGACTCTGACGCTGAGGAAAGACGCCAGTTATGGGAGGGGTGGTCCCCCTGCCCCCTGGCAGTTCCCAGACACACCTTGTCTGCGGCGGGGTCTGTGCCCGGGATGGCTCCCTCTTGTTTCTGTGTGGGGATCTCCTTGGCCAGAAGGTTGTAGGTAGTGATGACGATGTCGTATGTGGACAGGCTGCAGAGATAGAACACAGCACAAACAGGAAACAATCCCTCCGTGGCTGACAAGACAGGTGGGGGTCGACCCCTTTATAAAAATGCGGGCGGCTAGAGGGACAGCGATTAGGATTCACTAATACACATAATCCGCATATGCGTGGTTTGGGGGGAGGGTTTTCCTCACTGGGGATCCTTAGCTCTGACACCCGATCATTTTTACCGCCTGCTCACTATAGCCTCCCTGTTCCCATCCCATGAGTAGCAAAGGAAATTCTCGGGCTGGAGTCATATTAAGCTGGATATGATCTGGCAATAACAGAAAAACTGTAGGGCTGGGAATTAACGTCTTGTAATGATCTGACCTAGACCGATGCGGAAGTCTCGGGGAGTAAGAAGCCCTCAGAGTGCTGTTCGTCTATAGCTGATCTTTCGCCTTATCATTCTCCAACGGATTTCTGAAAACCCATGAATCCAGCTTTGACACTTGGGTACAAAAATACATACTGTAAGCTTGGGGTTTATTTGTCTACACTCTTTACACATCGAGATTGTTAACAAAAGGTACAGATCCTTTTTTCAATGAGACTGAATATTATGCACCTCGGCGAACGTCCATAAATACTTTTGATAAAAAGGATATGCCTAGTTCCGAGGGGTGCAGTCTACCCACTGCCTCAGCCTCATACAGAGAAGAAGAATTAAGAATGATTCTAACCGTTGACGAGCGCATTTGGAACACCAAACCAGATACGCTCAAAGTGCAAATCAAGTGAGGTGTGATTTATTTCTAATCAATATCTAGAGCAAAGGCCAGCCACTGACAGCAGTCTGCTAGAGAAGGCACACAGGCCTGTCACTGCTGCCCTGATACCTTTCATCCACTGAGGTGACATCACTCATGAAGCAGACATATTATAAGCCTGAAGCCTCCCAATTTTGGAACTCAGTGTTCTTTAGGAGATCAAATATCTCCTAAAGCGCACACCACTCTCTTGCCGGATGCACCTCTTCTCACAGGTGAAGGATGCTGCGTGACCACAGTGCCTTTGGGTGTCATGAGTCATTGGTCCTGACTGAATGAAAGCCCAGGGAGAGCAGGGAAGGCCCCTGTGGCCCCTACAGGGAGGAGCTTACACCGTTTGCCGCATCTCTGCACTTACACTTTCGCACGCTGCTCCCGACTGGGCCCGTGATAGAGACAGACTCTCAGTGTGTTGCTGCTTACACGTTTCATCACCTCGTTTTTCCAGTGGTGGATCAGGGAGGCAGGACAGATGATCAGCGTTCCGTGGGAAGTGAACTCAGAGGAGTCTTGGGGGGAGAAATCAGCACCTCGTTACGCTCATTAAATGGTCCTTGACTCCTTGAAGGCACTTACTCCTTTTCTTGACTTTCATTCTCACAATCAGTATTTCTAACAACCGCTGCCCTTAATCCCACGCCCAGTATGCAACAGAATGGGAAACGAAAGAGGTGGTCTTTGAACTCAAAACCCATATTTATCTTCCCTTGTACAAATGTCAGAGAGAGAGAGGCTGAGGAGGGAGAGGAAAGTACAGTACATGGCCTCAGTCTAGAAACACCAATACGCTCCATGGTGCCGAGGAGGCAGAAGTGGGATCATTTCCAACCTCGTCCCGAGGGGATTCGTTACAGGGGCATATTACTACCTTTCCCTGAAAAACGTAATTTACTTACATCCACATTATATTGTAAGTACAAAAGTCCCAAGAAAAGCGAAGAATACTTTGGAATGGGTGAACGAAGGCATATTTGTACCACTGCCTGCTCCCCTATCTCTTTGCATGCATATAGCTTGCTATTCTTGCACTCAGAGGCTCAGGACCCGGCTGTGACCATGTTCATTAGAGGCCCCGAGAATGGACGGATCTGTAACAATCCTACCAACTGACCCGCTCACCGTCTTGGCGGATGTTGGCAACTCACACATGATGTGGTGTTGCCAATATATTATACAGAGGACCTGTAATGCACTTGCATTTTATTTTCAAACAGAGGTTGAGATAAGATAGAAATTGTCTAGAACTTGGAAACTTCAGGAATTTGAGAACACCTAGAAAACAGCGTCCGCTATGGTGGCTAAAATCTGAGGTGGCGACAGACCTTTCTTTAAAAAATAATGGTTTTTTTCTCTCTAAAATTTTTTCTGACCACAGGTCAAGCTAAGTTTACAGCAACAGGGGCAACGATCCCTTGTAATTAAGCATATTCAGCATCAGAAATGATGGCACAGGAAAGAATCTAACACTAGTTTTCCAATAGATGAACTAAATATGACTGGAAGTGTTCTTTGAGAGCTTAAAAGTGTCCACTCTCCACTGGCTCAGGCAATTTAGGAAATAACGGGCGATTTATATACCGTCTTTGGAAAGCCAAGTCAACGCCATGTCTTTGTCGTCTTCTTTGCTCTTCTCCTGGTTCTTCTGGGTCAGGATGAGCGCAATCATGGTCAGAGTTTTTCCTAATCCCATATCATCCGCTGGAAAGCACCAACAAAAATCGGAGAGCCTATTACTTAGGGCAAAGCATCACCTCCACCTCAAGAGAAGAGACCACTGGCAGACCTGAGCCCCTGCGGTGCTGCTGGGGCTGATCCAGGCCCTCTCCTTGCCGAGCCTGACAAATCCTTCACCTTGCATATGAACATGAACCCTAGCTCTTGCTGGTTATTACCTAGATCAAAGGCAGTGACCACGACTCTTGGAAAACTTAGAACTTAGAACTTAGAGTCTATTCTCATCTGCATGCCATCATGTCACTCATCTTATGCATATGTGGACATCTATCTCGGTTTGGTCGTATTGCCTGGTCTTGAATTTCTTATTCTGCCAAAGCAAAAAGATCCAGTGGGTGGAGTTAACTCCAAACAGCGCTTCTCCATTCTCCCCACTTATTTGTCAAAGGGGACCACAAATGAACACTCCTTGGGGGCTGTCCTTGTGCAAGTCACTGAACTTACCTAATTCAATGTACTGTTTGTACCCTATAGAATATTCTCGCCCTCACCTGAACAGTTTCAATAAGCATTCTGACATAAGGGGAAGTAGGATGTCACACGCGGGTTCTGGTTTGAATTCTGGCCCTGTCCCCACGCAGATAGAGAGAGTCAGCATGGCACACCTGACCCCCATCCCAGGAAAGGCCCGGCGACAGGGGTGGCCCTGGGCTGGCAGGTGAGAACTCGAATTCAAGCAGGGTTCCTGCCATTCCCGGAACTTGTAAGAGCAGCTGTCTGAGCCTAAATGCTATGGCTCTGGCCATACAGCCGCTATCCTTCAGGGATATCAGCCGATATCCTTCAGGGAGTCTGGAATTTCTGGACCCGCCAGGCCGGAAGCTGCCAGTGTGGCCAGTTCCCAGGAAACAACCGGGGCCCAAACTTCCCTACTTGGTAACATCTTACGTGTGTCATCACAGCTCAGCCTGTGACTTCCCTGGGAAAGGTCTCTGAGGCTTGCACCTGCTGTCCCTCAACTCTGCCCCATGTCCCTTTTTCCTTTGCTGACTTCCACTTATAGAGAATCAAAATAGATTCATTTATTTATTTATTGACTTAAAGTTTGTTTTATTTATTCTGAAGAGATAGAGGGAGTGGGGAGGGGCAGAAAGAAAGAGAGAGAGAGAGAGAGAGAGAGAATCCCAGCAGCACGGAGCCTGATACGGGGCTTGATCTCACAAGCCTGTGAGATCATGACTTGAGCCAAAATTGAGTCGGACACTTAACCGACTGAGTCCCCCGGGCACCCCCGTCTTTTTGTTTTGTACTGAATCACAGCCATGAGTATGACCGCATGCTGTGTGCATCCTCTGAGCAAATCATCGACCCTTGAGCACTACCTGTCATGTTTTCTAGAAGCTGAAACCCTTGCAAAGTTTTAGTTTGAGGAGTCTCCAAAGCAGAGCCTGGAAAGTTTACTTGCTAGGGCCCCGGCACCTAAGGCCCCGGCAGCGTGACCTGGCTCTGGAGGTCACGTGTCCTCATTCACACAAGATTTCGACTCAGAGGTAAGCCACGTGAGAAACGAGGTGCGCTGTGAGATCCTCTCTGCGGGACAGGGTGGGGACAGGAGTCTCTGACGCTGGGGCGGCAATGCTTTCCTCTGGGGCTTGAGCAAAGCTGCCATGACTGTCCACAGGACACCAAGTTTATTTCATGGCTCTGGCCATGTTCCGGAACGTGTGGTCGCCAGCGTGGCTCTCCACCTCTCCCAGACGCTCTCTGGGCTACCAGGGGCCAAGCTCTCCTTCGGCTTAATTAGCCACAGTCGGCTTCCGCTGCTTGCAGCCACACCCTGGCCGAGCCCACAGCTGTGGGGGCAACCTAGTGCCCACCTGGAGCCGCGGACAGGGCCAAATGAGGGGGTGCCTCTGGGCGGTTAAGCGGCTGACTCTTGATTTCAGCTCAGGTCATGATCTCATTGTTGTGAGTCCGACCGCATTGGGCTCTGTGCTCAGTGTGGAGCCCGCTCAAGGTTCTCTCTCTCTCCCTCTGCTCCTCCCTGGCTCGCACACGGGGAGAGGAGAGGAAGGGAGGAAAAAGAAAAAATACAAAGTGCACGTCAACTCTTATCACGAGGTCAGACTCACCCAGAATCCCTCCGTGCGGCTGCTGGCTTTCCCGCCACAGCAGCCAGGCCAATGCCTGCTTCTGGTGCAGCAGCAGAGGCACCTGCCAGAGGCAAGAACCAAAAGATGAGTATAAATTCCTCATGAGGGGCTGGATCCGGACCACACGGACTCCATGCCCTCCACGCCTCCCAATGTTCCAGCCGTCACAGGGCTGCTCACTGTCCCCTGGAGAGCCCCCAGTCTGCCTCTGACCAGGGGACTCCAAGGCCCACTGTGCCTGGGACAGGCCTGCTCCTACCAGCCTGCACATGTATCAAGAGTGCCCCTCACCGCCTCGAGTGAGAGCCTTGATGTGTCTTTCATGGGCCGGGCGGGTTCCGGTGCTTGCTACCAAGACCTCTGACAGGCCACCTTCCTTTCCCTGATGAAGCCATTCCGACGGCTTCTCCTGATTTTCCTCTAAATGCGAGTCTCCACTCCGTAGGCAACGTGCCCCTCAGCACTGTGAGTCATAAATTCCAACAGCCCCTTGCCTGACACCCTCTTCCAGTCTTTCCTTAACCCCTCTGTATTCTGTGCTCCGCCACAAAGACACTCTTCTGAAAACACCTGGCTCAAAATTTTACAGCGGTTCCTAATGGCTCTCGAGCGTGTTTGTGTGACCTGCTTCCCGGTGCTGGGTGCACGGCCAGGGGCCCTGCTCGGTCCCGCCGCCTCCTCCCGTGCTGACCACCAGGGCCCGACTCCGTCCCGCCGACTGGCTGCCCCCTCCCATGCTGACCACCGAGCCTGCACCATCTCTCTAACCCACGCTCGGCTTCCACCCTCTCGGCCATCTGCAGGCTCGCAGCTTCGTTAAGCCACAGAGTAGGCAGGCCCCCAAGCGTTCTTCCCCGAGAGCACCAGCCCCCACTTGGACCCCCAGGTACTCCATGTACCGCCTGCGGCCCCCCACAGGGCACAGCACCTCTGCTCTCGGGCACCTTCCAGCTGTCTGACAGCCGCCGCGCATGCGCCTCCTCCCTCTAGCTCACTAGGCATGCGATTCCTTCACATCCTTGTGGCACAGCGCAGAGAGGACCTTTTACGGCTATGGACTTCTGTAATTTTACGGCTTTGAGAAAAAAACCTATATTTTGCCTCACTGCTTCACAGGGGGAGAAAACAGTACGAGGGAAGCAGGCGGAAGCGGCCCAGGGTCTGTGGGGACGGGGCCGCCCAGACAGGAGTCCCCCCAGCTCACCTTCAGCCCCGGTGGGTCCTCCGCCACAGCAGACTCGGCAGGCCGCGACCCCAGGGACTGATGGAGCTCATCGATGGCTTTACTTATGACTTTCCACACTGCATGAGGGCCGTCTGGCTTTGAAGGGCCTGGGGACAAACAGGCGTCAGTGCAAGGGTCACACGTGTCTCACCCCGGCGATTCGTGGTCTGCCAGGTAACTGTCTGCAGGGACTACAGGTTCCCACCTCCCGCTGTTCGCGCCTCACAGGCTCCTCTGTCCCCATCTGCTGGGTGTGTAGTCAGTCATTCTAAGAAAGGGCCAGGTAACAGAAAGTATACTAATGAGGTAACTTGTAATGTTTGGGATGTGTTTCCCCCCCAGCTTCAGAGAGGTGACGGGCTAACGCCATCGTTATTTCAGGAAGGAAATGTCCTCGGGGCTGATGCCAAGAAGGGAAGCCAGCAACAGGGAAGGGCGAGCTAGTGGAAGTCTGCGGACGGTACTTCCGGCAGAGAGGGACACGGCCCCCGACGCACGTGCCACACACTGTTCTCAACCCGGCGACATCGGCTCCCTCGACCCACAGCCAACGGCTGGACACGTGCCTCAGCTGTCTGCAGTATCAGGGCTGAGGTGTCCCAGATACGGTTTCTAGATAAATGGCAAGCGACGAACCATCTAAACGTAAAAATGTTTTTAAGCGATAAACCATTTTAACAGAATGCTTTCCAAAACGCATCATATGCTTTCTCCCCTTAAGGCTCTCACATGATTCGTTTTTGTCCAGGTGACTCAGTCACCATCAGGATTGTGAACGACGCTCACAGCTGGGCTCTCAGCCAGGACAGCCCTGCTACTTAGATGCACACATCTTCTGTTCCCTCCTGGACTCGCCTTAGCTGCGTCTGGCACCGAGCCCACTTCTTACCCTGTTAGCTACCCTCCTCGACTTTCTCCCCCCCCTCCCTCTTTGCTTCCTTGCTTCTCTCCTTCTCTCTTGGTATCTCTGGACATCCTCAGCTGGGAGAAAACTGGCCGTAGCTTTCCAGTCGCTGCCAGCCAAGCTGACCAGCGAGCTCACCCGGTCCCGTCTCCTAATTGGCAAACCCATCTGGCTCAGGACCCAGCTGAGGCTCTTCGGTCAGCTTTATTCACAGTTACTTCTGATCTACCGTTTTCTGGAAAGGTCAGGACAGAAGCACCAACTGAAACAGGGCAGCGCCGCTCCTGGTGGGTCTTTGGTCATCAGCTCAACTCCCGTCGCCCCTCTGCCCTGCTTTCACACGCACACAGGCGTGCAAGTGTGCCCGCTGCTCCGCCTCCCTCATGGCGGCATGGGTTTGAGCCTTCATTCACACTTATTAGAGGATTCCCATGTGCCGGCCACTGCGCTGAGTGATCAAGGCCTGTGAACCAGGCACACACAGAAATCTAAATGCTGCGTGTGCCCGCCAACCGCCACGGTCTCCACTATACAGGCAACTCCTAATTCCAGCTCTCCCTCACATGGGCAGAGACACCTGCTGGGCAGCACTGAACCTGGCGGTGTGGCAACGCCCAGCAGGGCCAGGCCCTTGGATCTCACCTCCGCAGCACAGACTGGACGCCCCAGCAGCTTCCGGGCAGGCAGCCTTGAGGCCTCGAGAGCCCAAGGGCTGGAGGCCGTGTTCCTCCAGGGGTCGGGGAGGCGCCAAGTGAGGAAGGTCAGTGGCGGCCGTGGTGAAGTTTCTCTGCTGTGGTGCTTGACCTTCACTCTTCTCATTAGCGTCTGCGAAAAAAATAAAAGGAAAGAACAGGCTCCAGTTAAGGAAAGTCAAGGAATTACCTGTGTGGGAGGGGGTCAGGAGGGAGCGGGACCGCTACCGTTCCAAGGAGCCGGGAAGACCTCAAGGGCATGGCACTGAAAGTCTCCTAACCAATGGGAAAGGGGGCAGTCCGCAGGACATGAAGGAAGTTTTCCTAAATCATAAGTGTTAATTCTGAAAAGCTCACAAGCAGATAATCAAATGGAACGGTGAATCTGTCGGAAGGGCTTCTCGAACGTCCCTTGCCAAGCTCCCGCAAACCCTGGGCTCCGGGGGGCACAGCCCATCTCACCTGGCTCTGGGCACAGGGCAAGGGCATCCAGGGCTTCCTCCAGCTCCCGGATCTGCGTGAGCAACTTCTGACCCTTGTCTGGGAGGGCCTGGAGGTTCACGGATTTCAGCGTGCTCTGAAAAACACACCCTGTAAGATGCAAGCCTCTTCTCCAGTTGTTAGAAAATCAGCTTCAAATTAAAGGGGTCTAAACTATGAAACCTGCAATGATGGTCTGTCGAGTATACACGTGAAAACCAGGGGTTTTTGTTCTTGGTTTTTTAAACGCAGCTGATTCACTGACCCCCAAAATACAAGCCTGGGCAAAGTGAGAAACCAACCATCCACCTGCAAAACCTGTGTCATATTAGCATGCCCCACTGGCTCGTGGCCCGCAGCAAGCGGTGCTCTGACCTCAGGAGCGAAGCATACGGGGGGCACCTGGGTGGTGTAGGCCACTAAGCGTCTGGCTTCTAAATCTCGGCTCAGGTCATAATCTCACAGTTTGTGAGTTGGAGCCCTGCATCAGGCTCTGTGCTGATGGCACGGAGCCTGCTTAGAAGTCCTTCTCTCCTTCTCTCTGCCCCTCCCCCGCTAAGCGGGTATGCCCCCCCCCCTCAAAATAAATAAATAAACTCAAACAAAAACCAAGCACACGGGCAGTCAGCAGTTACCTTCTTCTGTTTGAGTTGTGTTGTGAGGTACCCACGTTGGGCTGCCGGGTCTGAAGGTTCTACCTTCTTAGAAACACCCGGGGCGGGAGATGGGTTTCTTTGCCCACTCTGACCAGGGGGTAGGAGGTGGTTCTCTTTCTGGGAGTCCAGAGTCAGGTCAAAGAGCAAGGGAGGCTTCAGGGAAACAGTATGACCTCCCCCACGGTCCCCGTGGCTGGAGTCGGCGTCTGGCCCTGCACGCAGGGAGCGCCCTGCAGCTGGTGCCCACCATGCACACGGTCCTCCTGGGGCAGGTGCGTCCTGAGGCTCTGGGCGCCGGGTGGTCTGCGTGTTGGGGGCACCCCCTGCCTTTGTTTCTCCAGCCTCCCGGCCGCTGGAGTGCTCTTCACTGAGGTGTTCCCCTTTCTGGGGCTTGCTTGTTGCATTCAGACTGTGAGTAAGTCCAGACAAAGGCTTGGTTTCCTGTTGCCTTAGAGGTTCTGATTCCCTTTGGACGTGATGACTCTCAACATTCGATTTCTCCTGAAGAGACCCGGATGGCTTCCTCAGCGCATCACCGCGGCCCTGCTTGGGTTTAACGTCACAAAGGTTTCTTCTATGCGCCTCTTCCTTCTCCCTTACTTCACGCTGAAACTGCATCTTCTCCCCTTGATGCTTCTCTTGAACTGCAGGTGGTTTTTTCTTTACCTCCAGGGCAGAGGAGACATCTTTCTTCATCCAGCAGTTGGACTCAGTCCTCCGTTCCTTCTTTTGATCCAAAAGCACATCCCCCTTCTCCTCTGGATTCTGATCAGCCATCTTTTTCTCACCCTCGCCTTTGGTGAACTGTTTCCAGAGAGACGGCTCTTGATTCTTGTCAAGTACCTTGAACGGGTTTCTCTGCTGGCCGGAGGGCTCTGAGGCACTCTGAGGCCTGGTAGTTGTAGAATGTTCTGTGGAACCAGGCTCCTAAAAGACGAAGGAAATAATCTTCATATAAAACGTTAGTGCAAGCTTCCTACCTAGAATGCCTGTTTTCCAGAGGAAATGGAAACAGTAGACCCGTATTTCTGAACATTCCTGGGACCCTCTCTGCCTCCAGGAAAGACGAGGTGCCTAACTCAGACAGTGTCGGTTTCCGAGCAATACTTTCAACACTCGGTTCCTTCTCTGATCATGACCACTGCTTTCCCCGGCTTCAAGGACAAGCAGTGACCAATTCAAATGCTTCTGCAATGGTAGTAGCCACATGCATACCTCTCATGAAAAACTATTCTGTTGAATGAATCTATCCCCAAGCCTACACAATATCCTATGCTTGCTTTGAGTCTGGCCTTAGGAAGGTTCCATTGTGGGAGTCTAGAGTTACAAGTTCAAGCTCCAGCTCTACCAGTGAAAGCGTGGCTGCCTCGCCGGACCCAGCCTCTCAGGCTCTGGGCATCGGTCAGCCTCTCACGTTCTAGGAGCTTATGAATTACACTCCATTTATGCCAACATCGAGGAGATGGCAATCCGTAAAAGGATGCTGGAATTAGTCTGGTAAATCCAAATGTTTCCCTAAAGAGAACAGTGACTCCAACTAAAACCTTGAAAAATATAGACATGAAATAGGCAAATCATTAAACCTTAACTGTAACCAAAAAGTTCTTTGAATTCAAAGACCCAACGAGGCCGACCTTGCTTAAAGAAAAGATCTTTCAGAGACAGTACGATGAAGACGCACCAGTTTATACCTGACTTCAAAGCCTTTTCAGGCAACACCGCAGATTCAACAGTCTTAACGTAGCGGATCCGAGGATAGGACGATTCCTACCTGCCACGGGACACTTCCGCACCACTGCTTCCCTGCCGCCTTACTTCTGACACACTGGAAGAATAATCTGGTGAAGGAGAAGACACAAGTCATCAAGGCTGTGAAAATTCATTAAAACGGGATACATTTATTTTTCATGCAAGAAAACAACCTGCAACTTCTTGCCACCAGTTCTGAAAGGCCACCTGACTCTTATGTTTACGTGTAAAAATTCTCTACTGCGTAGGGTCTTCCTAAGGGCTACGAAATGAAGGGCTAGAGACGTCAGGGAAACCCAGACAGCTACTGGTTTGTTTTCTTTACTCTGTAAAGAATGACTGAAGCCAAAACGTGATCGGCGGTGGCTGCTAAAATCAGGAAAAGAGAGACAACCAGACGTTATGTACCCCTGACGGGGAAACGACGGTACCACCTATGAAGTGAAACAAAACCAAGCCAACCAGAACACACGCGAATACCCCGGATCTGCAGGGCCCTGGATTCAATGATCAATTTACAGGAAGCACAGACAACAGAGGAATGCTCGGAGGAGGCCACGGGGATGTGATCTGTAAAACCTTGACGGGGGGAATGGTCTGTGACCAACAACCGAGCTCCTTCAACAAATTACAAGGGAGGGGCAAAATGGAGAGAAGGCTTGAGAGACTTAAAAGACAAAGCAATCAATTGCGACCTGTGAACCGTATTCGTTGATTTAAACAAATAAAAACTATTAAAAATAAACTACTTATGTCTTCTATGAAGCGATTGGAAATCTGCGCTCCAACTGATTAAAAAGAAAGAGGAAAAAGTCCCTGTCTTTTAGAGCTAGATACTGAAACACTTATGGAAGAAATGTTATCTGGGATCTTTTCCAAAATATGGCCAGAGCTGGACGGGGGGCGGGGGGAGAGAGTGGGCAGAGCTCACAGGGAACAGACTGGCATGAGCTGCTAACTGTTGAAGCTCACGCGCTGCATTAGTCCTTCTGGTCTACTTTGTATGTACTTGCAATCTTCCATAAAAATAAACAAATAAATAAATAAAGACATACATCCCAATGGAAGACTGTCCCTGCATGAGTAAACGCAGCCTTCATACCCACTGCGCAGAAATGGCTGCACTGCGGGGCGCCTGGGTGGCTCAGTCGGTTAAGCGTCCGACTTCGGCTCAGGTCACGATCTCACGGTTCGTGGGTTTGAGCCCCACGTCGGGCTCTTTGCTGACAGCTCAGAGCCTGGAGCCTGCTTCAGATTCTGTGTCTCCCTCTCTCTCTGACCCTCCCCTGCTCATGCTGTCTCTCTCTCTCTCTCTCTCAGGAAGAAATAAAACATTTAAAAAAATTAATTTAAAAACAAAAAGAAAGAAATGGCTACACTGCTCTGTGAGCAAACCATGCATGCCCCCAGATTTTGCATGCGAATCTCCCTCCATCCAAAGGATGTCCTCTTTATCCCTATTTGCCCACCGCTTTCCCCCGTCACCAGCTGTCAAAGTCCTATACGTCCCTCCATGTCCACTTCAAGCCACGCCTCCTTTGCAAGGTGTTCCCATTCCATTCCCTGCTCATCCACTGTGCTGCTTCTGTATTTCTGCTGCATTTAGTTGTATTTCACTCATATCTGCCCAGCTGCTTGACGGTATTTTCAGTGACTGGAAGGTAACCTCATACGATCTCATTATTCTCAACGATGCCTTGCCTTTTGCTAACTATTGCTGAATTAAATAGAACCAACTGATTTTTCCCTTCCCCTCAGAAACATTTAATAATCTGTTAAGTAAGAGCTTTCAAATAGAATTTTACTGAATTGTTTAACTAGGTAATAAACTCACTCAATAAAATGGCCATGGAAAGGAGCCTCTCACGATACCCTATGTGCCCAGTTCACATTCCTCCCAAACACCTGTTGCTATTAGTTTTGTGTACCTCTCTAGAGATTTTTAAATGTATATTCAAATCAATAAGAATACATAAATCTTAATTCCCTTTTGCACACAAATGGATAGTATTCATACTAAATACCTTGTTTTTAGCAATATCTTCAAGATTTTCCAGAATATATACATGTGGTGTTCCTATGTATACAATACATATATATTATATAACATAAATAACATATAATTTTATTTTTTATAATTTTATTTTTATCATTTCCTTTTTAACAATGGCACAGCTTTTACACAGCTGCACAATTTCCCACTATTTGGAGTTCCAGGAGTTATTTAACCAGAACCTTCTTGATAAACAGTTTGGTTGTTTCTAAGTCTTTGCTCCTAAAAACAATGTCACAATGAATACCCTTTAACGCGTGTCACTTCACACGTGTCTTAATATATCTGCAGGGTGATGCTTTCTCTCTCACATTGCGTATTAGGGCCTTTTCTGTTTTTTGATCAATTAGCTTGTGAGTTTTATTTAGTAGCTCTTCTTGCTGTTTTCTAACTCATTAAATTCAATTTTTACCTACATGAATCCCTTCTTTCTCCTATCTTTCAGTTAATTTCCTGCCCTTTCTCTAACTTCTTAGACTTGTGATGCACAACATGAATCATGACAGTCTGAGTCTTCATTCCAGATGAATCCTGAGATCTCAATCCCTTCATGTCAATACCTCACCTGGACACAGAAGCAAAGATAGGCCCCAAGTGGACAAGTATTCCATAAAAGTCAGGCTAAAAAGAAAATAGGTCCAGGGGCACCTGGGTGGCTCAATCGGTTAAGTGGCCGTCTTCAGCTCAGGTCACGATCTCGCGGTTCGTGGGTTCCAGCCCTGCGTCGGGCTCTGTGCTGACAGTCCAGAGCCTGGAGCCTGCTTTGGATTCTGTGTCTCCCTCTCTCTCTGCCTCTCCTCCGCTTGTGCACACACACACACACACTCTCTCTCTCTCTCTCTCTCTCTCTCAAAACTAAATAAACATTAAAAAATTTAAAAAAGAAAAAGAAAAGAAAATAGGCCCAGCTCCTTTCATACAAACTCACAATTTTCCCATTCAAGCTCACAATTAAAAAAAACACACAAAACACCCACACTGGTCTCTCTGGTTTTTCTCGCTGAAACAGGATAATTATATTGAACCATGTAGTAAAATTTCTGAAATGCTCTAAATACATAAAAATTCAAAGTACTGGCTAATATTAGGCAGGACCATTACTTACAAAGTGAATCAAAATGAATTGCTGCTGTGTTTCACATGAATCAAGTACTTGAAACCTTTACTGACAAGAACATTTCATAAATCATGTCTGTTTTAAAGCCCAAGCCGCTGCAGACTTCCAGAAGGGCAGGACCTGGGAGCCCAAAAAGGGAAAAAAACAACACACTTGCTGTGCATCTATGAAGCATCTACTTAGCTCTAGACATGGTGGTAAAAAAACGCTTTTACTTGCATTTTTATTAAAACCTATCTGAATGAGCCTCTCTGTTTTTAAGATAAAAAGTTTGTTACGCTTATTAAACTGCAAACCAACAAAGAAAGCAATGGAAATATATTCTTACGGAGAAAGCAAATATTTTGTTTATAAATGTTTATTTTTGAGAGAGAGAGCAAGCAAGTGAGTGCATGAGCAGGGGAGGGGCAGAAGAGAGAGGACAGAGGATCCGAAGAGGGCTCTGCATTGACATCAGAGAGCTCGACGTGGGGCTTGAACCCACAAACCCCAAGATCACGACCCTAGCTGAAGTCGGAATCTCAACCGACCAAGCCACCCAGGCACCCCGATTGGTTCCACTATGAAGAGTGTGATTTCTGCAGTATATTAATTATTTTCCAGGACGGAAGTAACAGGCAATGCTGATGAACACAGCCAGAGACAGCCACCTCATCAATGTGGTCTTCCTCTCAGGAAGGCAAAGCCTCCCTCCTTCCTGAAGGCCGATCGTCCAACCCACGTTGCACTGTCGGGCACGTTCCCTTCAGCGAGGCTGCGGTTCTCTCAGGCTCCAGGGCCATCTTCCCTTGGTTCAAATCCCAGCCCTACGACATAATTAGCTCTGAAATCTCACACACTTCATGTGACTGGCCCCTGGGCCGGTTTCCATTTCCATAAAATGGCCAAAAAATAAAAGGCCCTACCCCATTTGATCACTGTAAGGGTACGTGCACTGATGCATGTAGAGATAAGGTTCAGACCAAAGTCCAACCCGTATTAAGGGCCTGCTAAGCAGCAACAATCATTAGTTCACTCTTGCCAACCACCTTGTCTACTCCCATTCCGTTTAGAGCCACACTTTCTTGTCTTTTACTATCCAAATGCTGAAGGTCACTCAAGGCCAAGCTCACGTCTCAACCCCTACACTTCCTCAGTAACCTGCACCAGCCTTACCCCCTACTGTTACGGTCACGGGGGCACCTGCATGTGAACACTCCAATTTAGTGCTAACGCACGCAGATCGTGCCAGCCACCATGTGTGTTTGACTCTTACCGCGATGGTGTCAGAGGCCACCAGGAAGACAGGCCCACTTCTATATATGCTCCAGCAGTAGGAAAACATAAGGCTGGATTTCTATCTCATTCCTTTACGTTAAAATTCAAGATGGAACAAAAGTGTAAATGTAAAAAAACAAAATGAAACTGTAAATGCTCTGGGAAAAAAAGAGTGAAGAACGTTTCTCTAATCCTCCAGTGAAGAAGGCTTTTCTAAGGGACCTAAAATCCTGGAATTGGTCATTCTGACCACATAAACGTTTTCTGGTTTTGCTTTTTTAAGATTTTGTTTTTTTTAAGTCATCTCTACACTGGACGCGGGACTCGAACTCACAACCCTGAGAACAAGAGTCGCACACCCTACTGACTGAGCCAGCCAGGCGTCCTTCCACAGAGCTGACCAGGGGGATGGTAACCCACCAGCTGCAGAAGCCAGTGAGGAGCTGCAGTGTGGCTCTGGGCCGCCCTGTGGCCCTGGGCCTTGACACTGGCCACAAGGTGACCTGACCAAGAACACGAGCGAACTGAGGCACAGCCACTGCCGCGGGCATCTCCCCAAGCACGTGTTCATACAGGACATGAGCCCCACACAAGGCCACGTCATGGAGCTGTTCAAGGCCTCCCAAGGACAAGAGTGCCCTCAAGTTCATCAAGAAAATGGT